CCCCAAAACCCCAAAACCCCAAAACCCCAAAACCCCAAGTCTATAAATTTGAGTGGAAATACTAATTATAATTCAAAATTACACTCCATGCTGCAAGATTCTAAAGCAACAGACTCAACCATTTTAGACTATGAGCTCAGCGAGGTTGACCAAGACAGGATTTCAAGGCTGAAGGAGATCCATTCCTGGCTTTGAGCTGTGAACATAGCCTTGTTGGCTTTCTCAACTGTAATGATACTTCTTTATTTTCAAAAGCATTCATGACTTCTATGGAGGATTTCATGCTCAACTCATTCTTTTACCAACACAGAGGCTCTAATGAGGAGGTTTTTATGTTTCTTTTTCAACTGAAAGAATTATTTATAGATTTGTGATATTAACTTCTATTTTTAAGATAAAAACGATTAACTTTACATATAGGTAGCACTAACCTCATGTTACAACTCCTATGTGCTGGGACAGATAGTGATGGGATCCATATTCACAGCTTTTGCTATTGCTTGCATTCATTTTCCTCAGATAAAACTTTTAAGGAGTAAATCTGCCAAGATTTTGCTTGTTATGTATTTCATCTTCTCCATCACATCGATGCTGTTTATGATCACATCAGCATGAATTTTGTGGTAAGTCAAGGCCTTTCGCTCTCTTTTGTGAAAAACAGTTGATCATCTTACATAGGCCAATCCCAGGGATTTTCGTGAGAGATACAGGTAACAAGAAAGATGTAGGCTACTACATGTTCTCTATCTCTTGCTTCCTGTTAGGAATAATCCCGACGATACACTCCATCACCATCATGGATCTCTTAAGAAATGCCTCTAAGGCTGCTTCAAGCGTTCAATGTAAGTTTTATGGAAAGCTCCTTGTCTTTTCGATTTGAGACAACAATGATTTTTAATGTTTAATAATTTGGATTAGATCAGAAGAGAACAAGATGGATAGTAGACTCACGTGATAACAAGGATCATCCTGCCTGTCCTATGGTCGCTTCTACCTCTTCAGATGCTAGTTCGTACCTGGGTCATTCAAAAGTACTAATAGAGCTATCACAGACAGCTTAATAATATACTTAATGAAGTGAGATTCCAATAGAATGTTAGTTTTTATCTCAAAGTTGATCTCCCAAATCGAGGTTTTGAGCTCCAATCTATTATAAGTTATATTCTTTTGGATAATAGTGGGTCAAACTCTCTTAAAACTCTTTGAGTGTTTAATAGATTAATAATTTTATTTCAAAAGCAAATTTATGAATAATTTTATGTAGCTCGCCCTCGTCTAAATGAAGCAAGAAGTTATTTCCTGTCTCTTCACAAATTCTTTCCTAATATTAAAAATCATCAGTTAAGAAGCTATTAAACCTTCTTTTTAACCTCTTATCCAAAGGAGAGCGTATTAAAACACCTATTCAGCACTCACCATCATTTTAATGATTTTTCCATTAAAATTCCAAACCAATTCTATTTCAACCTATTTCCTATCAAAAGGGGTTTTGGGGTTTTGGGGTTTTGGGGTTTTGGGG